GAGCATGCGCTGCTTAGGGGGCGCCTTGAAACCGCGAGTGCCACCTGCCGCGTGGGGTGAAACTACGCAACACTTCTGTGAATTTCTGATGTTCTGTAAACTATCGACCAGGACGGTGCTGAACAGCGGGAAACAACCCAAAAACGTAGAACTCCGTACACGTATTTTGAAGTAGAAGAGTGGTGAACGAAACTGTTGAGGGAGAGAGATAAACGGGGGAGCAATGTTGTAGTTTCCAAGAGTAGATGGAGGTGGCTGGTGGTCGGTGTCTCGGGGGCCGCCGTACGTGCGGCGGGAATGAACACCTACCTGTGGCCCCGGCATGCGGAGCCGCGCGGCTGTTTCCACGAACGTCACATCACATTTTTCTACTTCCTCGTCACACGTACTCAAGTGAAACGAGACAGGCCTTGCAAGCATTCACTCACCACGTGGCAGCGAGTAGCACGCAATCCACGCGCCGAATGTGGAAAAGATCGTCGTGGCTAGCGCTTTGGCTGTTTGCGCCGCTGAAATTAAGTCCTCAGCTGTTGCCCTTCCCTCCCTCATTCTCCTTTTTCTCTCTCTCTCTCTCTCTCCTTCTTCGTCCTACCCCCTACAAAAATGAATAGAAATCAGACACTCCAGACGGTGGGAGTCCCGATACCCGGCGATATCAACAAGACGGTTGTCTGATCAAACATGACTGTAAATGGCACCAGCCTTAACCCGTGGTAGACCGTGTCAGCGATGTCCAGCCTAGACCCTACAAGCGAGGTGAAACTACATATCACACGCAAAGTCGCATTAAATCGGTGACCATGGTCACGTACTACTCATGGCTTCCTGTGTTGAAGGAGGTCTACGGAAGCGAGGGACACAACGAGGAACTTTGATCGGGCCCTTGTGCATATGAACGAGAATTGCCATGAGAAATGCTCTCGGCGTTATCGACCGGTATTCACGGCGGCAGCTCGATACTTTCCACGCCGTTGCTATTTTTATGGGTTGCAGGATCTATAAAGAATTCTTGATTTTCCGATATTTCTCTGTTGATCCCTCCACTTGCTCAGAGTCATAAGTAAGACCGCATCCTCTTGCCTCTGGTTCTTCTATCGACAGCTCCAAGTTCTCGTCATGGACAGTCGGGCGTTAAACGTCGATGCATGGAATAGAATCGACAGCTAAGAACGAAGTGTATTAGAGAAAATACAACGCAGCACGACAAAAAAAACCACCAGCTCTGTGTGGCTACATTGGGGGATGTGGCCTAACTCACTTTCCGGACCTCCTGTTTGTGATGTACATTTTGAAACAACCATTGATGTTCCCTGGGCACCTCGGCCCTACGCGTTATGATGGTGAAAGTAGGGCGTGAAATAGGGCGTGAAATACTTAACAAGGGGTTCAACAACAACCTCCCGAAGGGATTCACGAAAGAGTTTCTTACTATCGGCGAGGGACGACCCGCCCCGGAACCTGTGCTTATGTGTTGACTGTTCGTTAGCGAGTTTGGGGGGTTGGAGGTCAAGGTAGACCTGTGTTGTACACACTTTCAGATACGCAAGGCACTCAAGCACACCAACACTTCGACTTATTATGTTTGTTGTGTGTGGTAACGAGGTGATGATGGACCTGATAATCCGTCGCCGCACCATGATCGATATCATTGATAACAACATACTGGATGCCAAATATTTGTAACCATTTTGGAGTAGCTTTCTAGCCGTCTTCGTTGAACTTACTTCGCAGAACCCGTTAGCGGGGTGGTAATGTTGTGTCACACCGTGTTCCTTCTTCTGCATTCATTCGCACGACAACTCTGCAACAGATCCTATCTGAACTACACGTGCTGACTCGCGCACAGGACACACACACAGTATCTTCATTCTTTTTCTGGTCCCCGGTTGTGTATGATTGTGTTTTATGATATTTGGGGATAGCCATGTGATGGTGCATTACCATGGTTATATGGCGTCGTCACAGATGTTTCGTTTGACGTCATGCGAGATTGATTGCGGCTTTAAGCCGAGTCTTGTGCCCTTCTGCTCAGTGTGCGGTCGGGTCCGATCGTGTACGATTGGTGTGGCAATCGGCTGGCGGGGTGGGTTCTGGATGCATGGTGCGCGTGCGAGGAGATAAGGGGAAGAACAGCGGAAAGCAGATCCAGCCTGCACCCGTGATCGGACTACAGTTCCACACAGTTAAAGGTGATCATATGGAAGAGGCGGAGCCTTGTGACAGACATGTGTGTGTGTGATCGGATTATCTTGGAGTTAAGGAGTCATCTCTGCGGGCTCTGCCCATGTTTCAACACGACGACTGATCTGATGCCCAATTAGGAAACGCAAGCTCAATTTGTACACACGGATCGGCAGCTAGGGTGCTACCGTCTGACCACCCCCCGTACACATAGAAGCATATTCTACATTGCTCCTTGCCTGACTCCCTGCGTGTAACCGAAGCAATGCCACTCGTTGTCGGAAGGGGAATCTTGTACAAAGGTAAAAGTTCGGATCCAAATCTTCGTGTCCTTGTTTTTGCGTATGCACACCTCATGATTGCATGGCTATGACGTTCGCTTTCGCACGCATGCTTTGTTATGGGTGCGTTTCGTTTGTGGTCGGTAAGAACGCTGCTGCTGCAGATGCTACCCGTATCCTTGTTGCTTTTGTTTCATACGGTCTGAACCATAGTCTAGGCTACTGGGCAATTGTCAGAGATATTCCACATCATCACCCCACATGCGTGTATGTTGTTTCGATGATCTGTGGTAACGGGCCCATCCACAAGTGCTGGTACGATGCGTTGTTGCAACCGCCTGACGACGGGATGGACATGCTCGCTCGGAAGTTGGCATTGTTGAAGTACGTAGGCTCGCTCGTTTGGTGCAGCGTCAAAGTGTCTTGCGGTGACCTCTTTCTGTGTTTTCCACCAAATGTACATACTGTAGCAGCTGTAGGCGGTTCAACAAAGAAGAGTGTGTGGGTTGAGACCCTTCACTCTCGTGGGGCTATCAGTACCCATGGCCCCGATTCCAAATCAACCCCGCGAACAGTGTCGGGCGTTTCAAGCGGGGACACGAGCGAGGTACAAGCCAAAGGTATGACCCTTCCCATACACTACGTTCGCCATGTTCGAGGATTCCCACTGATGTCGTGCCCTGCTCTTTTTTTGTTCGTGATGAGAGTGGACTTCGTGAGCGGAACAGGTGCCTGGGTTGCCCAACGAAAGGGACGCGAATAACCAGCGCGTAGAAATCGTTGGTGTGAATGCCCGCAAGTGTGGCGCTCGCCATCAATGGACAACGCCTCTGTTTGAAAACAAGGGGATGTCACTAAAAATATTCCCTGGGAAGAGAGAGTCTGGGACATCTTTTCCGCCGCAACATGACTGACACACAGAGTAGTTTCATTGGACAGCGGGTTGGTTCGTCTTCTGTAGAACCCCCCCGGATTGAAAAGATTCACACGTCACAGAGCCCCCACGACTACCATATATTGCACCGCCGTCCGCCCCACCCTACTGCTTGTGGTTTCTAGCTTCATACAGAAGCACTAGCTCCACACGCGAGCGGTCAGTGTAAGCGACAAGCCAAGGGCCGACCTCACTAGACAACCTCCTGGAGAAGGGTAGGATCGATCGGGTCCTAACTCCCTCGGCAGATCACACAATCAGCCACTTCACCCGCGCTCGCCTCCTCGCTCGGGGCGATGACTGACACAGGAGCAGCCGCAGCGAAGCCGGCAGATGATGGAAACGAGCGATCGGTCATGACCAAGATTGGTAGGTGCTCTGACTTTGGTCGGGAGGACCATGGGTGGAAGTTCACCTTGGAGGGTCTGGAAAATCCCCCCTCCCTGAAGGAGAGCGGCAGGTTAGGAGACGCTATTGCTACTGCTGCTGTACAGCAGTGGAAACGTACAATGACCGCTCTTCTTCTCTTGGTCTTTCTCCCCCCTCCGCCAAACGTTGATATTCGTTGCGACATACAAGAGCGCTGTTGTTCTTTGGCGTCCTCTCTCCTCGCGAAAAAGCGAGTGACGGTTGCCATGCTGATATTGTGAGGAATGAAGTGGTACAATAGTCAGTGGTGGCAAAATGCGCTCCGGGGGTTTTACACCACCTGCACCGGGAAACCTCGACATATACAAGTGAAAATCAGCACTCGTCAGGATTGGGACGCTGAACATCCCTTGCGCTACGACGGAAGTGTAACTATCGCAAGGGGGATTTCTGAAAGTTCTTCCTACGTAACCACGGCTGATGCGTCACAATATAGACAATACCGAAGGTGTTTAACCCGCCACGACATGCGCGCGCGGGCCAAAATGAAGCGGTTCCGCCGCATTTTGTGACTACTACTTGTAAGGAGGAACAGATGCGATTGTAAATAAATGTTGGCATACTCATCAGTTGGAAATGACTGATGTGTCCGAGGCATGCCCGCTACGACGGAAGTGTAAGTATCGCAAGGGGGATTTATGAAATTTCTTCCTGCGTGACCACGGCTGATGCGTCACAATGTAGACAATACCTAAGGTGTTTAACCCGCCACGACATGCGCGCGCGGGCCAAAATGAAGCGGTTCCGCCGCATTTTGTGACTACTACTTGTAAGGAGGAACAGATGCGATTGTAAATAAATGTTGGCATGCTCATCAGTTGGAAATGACTGATGTGTCCGAGGCATGCCCCAACGATGGGCAATAGTGCTGGACGATGATGGCCACTCCGTGGCTATGCCAGTGGCTCGTTCGACGAGTGTTGTTGCAGACTATCCGCAATTCCAGGATTGAACACATCGACACCAATGATTTGGGGATGTAGTGTCGATGCACTGTAATAGTAGGAATGTAATGGACTATCTTATGAGCGTAGGTATAGTTGTTACAAAGCATTTGGTAGGTACATCACATATACTAAAAGAAATGCCGTTTTAGTAGTAGATTATGTTGACAAGATTTCGGTTCAACGACAGGAACTTCTTGTCAGAGTTTTGGAGAGACAAGGTTTTGGCATTTTTACAAAGGAAGTAACAGGAGAACGGAGGAAATGTTGAATTCAATCAATAATGTTGTGATTCCCTTCAGTTTTAAGTTCGGCATTGGGAGGTACGTACTAACGTGACGTGCATGTACAATATCGTATTCGTACAAGTATGAGCATGAAGATAGAAATAGTAAGGGGTATACATTGAGTGAAACGTTATAGGACTTTAGTGCTAACATCTTCAATTGCCGATCGGGAAATGATAATAATAATAATAATAATTGCGGTGGTGTTGGGCTCGGTCTGGCGGCGCCCTGGGTTTCTGTGCTCACCGGGCAATCCTTGTCGGCTACTTTCCGCCCATACTGCTGCCAGTCCGTGTGATGTGTCTTGTAGGATGGGATCCGGCCAAGCCGACCCCATCTGGCGGGAGGGACAGCTCTAATTCGACAGAAAGCACCAGTCGCGGGCGCACGAAGCCCGTGTTTGAGACGTGCATGGAGCTGAGAGCGAAGGCGGTGGTGAGAGGTGGGGCGATGACAATCTACCAGCGCTTCCTAGCACAAACATCCTCCAAGAAGACCAACCTAAAGGTGAACAAGAAAGGTGTCTTGCCTAGTCTTGCCATTGCTTGTTTCGAACTACTATAAACTATACAAAGAGGTGCCCATCCAAGCAAAGAATGGCGTGGCGGAAAGCGACTTTGAACGGCAGGTGACATGCCGACATTCAGCAGTCTAGTGTGATGAAGTGAGCACAACATATATTTTTCGCCTGCTTGTGCTACCACTCGATGCCAATCAACAGCTGCTGGAACTGTGAAGCCGGGGTGTGGGCTAAGGGAGACTAGAAAGTGGGTGCGCCGCAGATGACGCGAATACTGGTGAGACCCGATGTGTGGGAAGGGTATCTACTGGGTCATTCAAAATTTCATCCGGTTTGAAAATTTCCCATCGTCACCGGATGAAAACTCCCTTTTCGCTGTAGCGTCTCATTCTAGCAATGTAGCTGTTGTGCGATATCCGTGAATTTCAGTAGCGTACTCCCCCCACCTCAGTATGTCGATAGACGATGGTTCATTTTCCCGGAGTGACTGACCTGCAGTCCTGCTCTTTGGAACGACACTTCGTTACAACTGTGTCTCAACTGCGTCTCTTTAGGGTTGACATCACTCCTAGCCGCGGGCGCCAATCGATGTTAGCATCGGGTCACATGCCTTCCTTGCGGATGACAACGGGCGATACCGAACAGGCTCTCTCCTGTTGTGCGACAAGAGGGATCTCGCGGAGAGATCTCGTGAGCACTCTAAGTTTCGCGCTCGATCTCATCTCATCATACATCCTTTCAAATTTGGTTCACTCGCGCATACAGTACCTTAAACGTCGGAGTTTCCCCCCCCAATAGAGTTGTCCCCTCCCCCTATTACCTCCCCCCTCGGTGTTGGCCATCGGGGTTGGGTTTTCGTCGCTTAGCAACGACGTTGTAAAACAAGCCCCCCCCCTCGGTGTTTGCCCGATGTTTGCCATCGGGATTGGGTTTTCGTCGCTTGGCAACGACGTTGTAAAACAAGCCACCCCCCCCGGTGTTTGCCATCGGGATTGGGTTTTCGTCGCTTGGCAACGACGTTGTAAAACAAGCCAATTCACTTCGTGAACTCGGCAACCAGGTTACCGTTTTTTTTTTTTTCCTCCGTTTATTTTTTTTGGGCGGTAACCATAATGATGGTTGAGTAGATCATGTTGTGCGGGGTGAACCCTCACTCCGCGCAAGGGGGATGATCGCACCACGTTGTGTTAAAATGGTCAAGCACCCTCGAGGCAGTTACACAGTGCTTACAACTGTCTCTGGAAGTGAAAGCACCAGAAAATAAATTAATTCATACGCAGCTGTCATCCGTACGCAAGGAAGTAAGCACAAGATGCCGAACACCCTTAGCAGGATGCAGCGCACCCTTCATGCGACTCGCCGAATATCTCACGGCGCTTCGCGCTTGGTGATGTGAGAGCCTGGTCCGGTGAGAACCCGGCGTGCTCCGTCCCGGCTTTGTAGGGATGCGAGGTCAATGGTCTAACGACTACGGCATGCACGACTATGAGTACCCCCCCCCCCCCTCCCCCTCGGTGTTTGGNGGTCAAGCACCCTCGAGGCAGATACACAGTGCTTACAACTGTCGCTGGAAATGAAAGCACCAGAAAATAAATTAAGTCATACGC